GTCACCTATAGCTTCATGGGTTCCCACTTCACTCTTCAGGTTGCAAATCCACTACTGTCCTTAAATAGTTCAGTGCTCAAATTGTCCCAGGTTTGTACAGAGAGAGCCCTTCCAGGCTACCTCCAATAACCATACATTGTTTTAAGTTTGTTTTTTAAACTTCCAGTGTTTAATAGGTAGTTCTAAATACTAAGGCACATTAGTTTGCAGGTAGCTATAACTCAAGTTTTAGGGGGCAGTCAAGGGCCCCATTGTTGCAGAGGATACTGGGAGCGTGGTCTCTCTCCGGTTGGTCTAGCTGTACCTCTCCCCACAGGGGTTTGTGGTTCTGACGTGGGCCTCGTGGTCTTACCCTAGAGTTTCTCTTCTGTCTGTGGAAGAATTCGGGGCATGGTCTGTGCTGCAGTTCGGACTGGGCCGCAGCAGAACCCGACTCAGGCTGCGGAACCTGCGTTCCAGGCCTGGGCTTCCTGAGCTGGGAGGAGCCGGGGCCGGGGCGGGGGCTGGGAATGGGTGCTGGAGGCCGGCTGGCAGCCGTGGGGAGTGGGAACACCACCCCTTCCTGGGTTAGCAGAGCAGCGGAATCATTGGTGTTATTTCTCTCTGTTTTAGGTTGGCTCTCATCATCTGAGACTCAACAGAGGCCTGGAAGCCAACGCCCCTGCCTTCGACAGGTAAGGTCCTCTGACACCATCCCGTCTGTCATCCTCAGGGGTCGTCCTCCATCAGACAGCGGCCCAAGGGACAGCAGGAAGGGGGGGCCTACACCCTGGATCTAACGTTGCTCTTTACTTTGGTCCTTTATACAAAAGGGAGTTTCCAAAATGAGATTTTTTTTCCTGCTCTCAGGTTTCCCTGAAGGCTCAGTAATAAATGCTCAGGTAGCACTTGGAACTATTTTATCTTATCAGTTCCTTCTGCTATGTAGCTTTATCCTTTCGTCCTGATTAATAAGGGATCGTCTGAATAATAGGATATTTGTAGCTGTTTGTTTTAAAAGTAACATATTCCCAGGTTTTAAAAGTCACCACGTAGAAAGGTATAAAGTGAGAAGTAAAACTACCCTAACTCCCAACTCCCACTACTAGAGATTCTACTATTAGTTTTTTATGTCTCATTCTAGAAAAAAATTGACATATATGTAGTTCATGTTTTAAAACACAAATTGGACCGTAACACAGTAAATGTTTTGCAACTTTAACCTGAACTGTTAGAAATTTGAACTTGAATAGTTAATAGCTTCATAAAATACTTGCTTTTTAAATCTAAATACCATGTTTAAAAATTATCTTAGTGAAGGTGATAAAATTTCAAAATGTAATTTTGTGTTTTACTTACTTACTTTTTAATTTATCTTTATTGTTGAAAGTATTACAGTTCTCCTCCCCTCCCCCCCCATGAAACAAGTTGCTGGGCTTGTTTCAAAAATCTTCACGTCTTTTCCCTGGTGGTTGTGTTTTAATCACTGGGACTGTAAACTCGTTTGCAGCTGTCTCACTTACCATAACCGGGTAACAGCAGCTCAGCTGTGACCCCCGAATTGGTACAGAGAGCAGCTTTTCCTGGAAGGAGATGTATAACCTAGTAGTGAATATGCTATTGCCTGTTTTTCTGAACACTTTTCACGTGTTCCATGCATGGTGCATGCGGTCTTCTTTTCGTTGACGTTGATCTACATTAAATGTTCGTAGGAAATAGTAAACATCTAACCAAAAACGAAATTCCTCCTGAGCTGGCCAGAGGCAAAGGGAAGGGGCTGCTGGGCTTATTTCAGAACTTTCCGTCTTTATGAGTTTGGTGTGTTTTTTAAATTAAGAACATTTACATAGACTTACAGGTTTTTAAATCGTGTGTGTGCACGCGCATGTGCTGGAGAGTATGAGCCCTCTCCTTTCTCACTCCTCCCCTACATCTCAGGGTAAACTCAGTCTCGTCTGTGAATCACTGCTTTTCTGAGGCCGTAAGTCCTTTTACAGGCTGCTACCGTTTAAAATTCTGGCTCCCCGTGAGTTCCTTTTTTAATGCTTTCCAACCGGGAAGTTTGACCCATCTGTGCCCCTTCTCACTCCCGCTGGGAGGACCTGCCGGTATGTCATAGCTGCTGACCTGTGGCTCTCGCTGGACAGCAGTTTGGAAGTGAGTGTCTTGGAGTGAGGTCACAGGTTTCTCTCACTGACCACGATGGGGCACTGTGAGCCCCTCCCCTGCAGGGGTGCCCCCAGATCTCTGGGACATCACGGGTCTCAGAGCTTCTCAGTTCTTTGATGTGTTTGGTCCAGAGTAAATCCCTCCTCCCTCCCCCACGGCAAGAATCCTTTACATGGGAAGTTTAATACCCAGAATACTGGTCGTAGGCGCTGCACCGTTTCCCTGGGTTACTTACTGTCCTTCTGTCACCTGTCTGCCATGTCTGGAGGAAGGGGGTGTTTCGGGCACGCCTTGGGTGTGGCTGCTCGGGGAGGATCTTGTCTCGCAGCGTCGTACAGTTATGATGACAGTGTTGGCGTCTCGGTGGGCAGTGCCGGGTCTCACCTCTGCGAGACAGTGACCTGCTGCGTTCTCCCTCTCTCACCCCGTGCAGAGCTGCTTGTGTCTGGACATCAGGGTGGGTTTAACTGCTGGCCCCTCACTTATGCCCTGAATTTGAGAAGGATGCTGACAGATGGAAATCTGACTCCTCAAAGTCCTGGAAAACTCCTCCGTTTTCCAAGGAGCTCCATCTGACAGTAACAGATGGGCAGAAAGAACCAAAAAAAGACCCTAAATGCAGAGCCACCAACACCAGGATGGATCTTTCTCTTGCTGATCTTGGCGTGGACTCCCTTAAAGCCAGTGAAATGAGTCTTGATTTATCAACACTAAGTGAATTATCTTATTTTGAAATCAAAAGGAAGGAAAGGAAAACCAACCCTCATGTGCTGAGCACTAGACTTGTCCCTGTCACCCCCCTTTTAGTCCTCATGACCACCCCTCACAGGAGGATTAGCCTTGTATTACAGATGGAGCCAGCTCAGAGGGGTGGGTAATTGGATCAGGGCTTTGGGGGCTGGTGACATGAATAATGGGTAATGTTTCTCTCCCAACCTTGGCATTTGGAGCCAGTTAAGATGTATGTGTGGGCATCAGTCACTTGGCGATCAGACATCGGCCTCATTTCTGACAAGTTGCATTGTGGCTTGGTTACGGCTTGGATGTGTGGCCACAATGGGCTTCCTCACATCGCACCCTGAATTAGGGTGCTCACTCAGTGCTGGGCAGCCCAGACTTCCCACCAGAGCAGAGCTTGCTGCTCAGTCTGTGTGTCCACGTGTCAGACCTCAGGCCAGGATGCTCCTTCCCTGGGCCGGCAGACCCAAAAGAACCCAGAAGGGCTGGGCCATGAATGTTCCATTTCTTCCGGCACCTCACCCAGTGTTGCAAACACTCAGCTCCAGGGACAGAGCTTAGCCCACCGAGGCCCTGATTTCACGATTTCATCGGTGCCTATGTCTTCCCCCAGGAGGGGCTGCAGGGAGGGCGGGGCTGCCAGGGCCACAGCTCTGGGAGAGGCAGTCCCCCAGGCAGGAGCCGGGGGAGACTCGGCCTTAGCTCTGCAGCAGAGGAACCTGCGCTGGCCCCCTTCAGAATCATTCTACCCACTGCCACCCCTCAAAGTTAGTAAGAGTGGTTTTTTTCTCTCTTACGGGGTTAAAAATGGTTCTTTTGTGATAATTAACTTTTTAAAAATTTTGTTTATAAAAGAAACATGCCATTGTAGAAATTTGGAAAATAATGAAATGTTTAAAGAAGAAAAGAATTTTAAATGACATAAAATTCCACCACTTCTAACATCATGGTGTGTTCTCTTCCGGTCTTTTCTCTATATTTAGGTACAAACGTGGCCCTATTACATTACAGTTTTCAGTCTGCTTTTTGCATTACGTGTTTTTCCTATGCTTTTTTCAACACAGCATTTAAACCTTTCTACCATTATTATAATTGTAAAGTTACTTTTCAAAAGCTAGTGATAAAAGATAAATATTAGTCTCTCCCTAATATTTCAACTTACATATTTTTAAATGGTCTCTGATATACAAATAATCTTCCTGAAGACTGAAGCTTTGTTGTGGCCTCTCGTTTGGGTTACCAGCGTAACGTGCAGCGCTCAGGGAAGAACTGGACCCTGCGGTTGACTGCCCTCCTACCAGGTTTTCCAGCTTGGAGGACAGACGGTACTGAGTGAAACAGATTAATTTCAGAGATATGCACATCGCATTTGTAAGGCTCTGTCCATGCAAGGCCTGGTCAGCTGTTCTGGATTTAATGGGGTGCTTTATGGAAGGTCCTTCCTCTGACGTGCAGGGTTTATTCCTGGCCCGAGCCTTTCGCGGGGAGGCGCATCCGGGACCTTACTCCCAGCAGGTCCCCTCCAAGTTCTCTCCCCCAGTCTGCGTCTGGCGACCCGGGTTCACGGTGGTGCCTGCTCTGTTGCAGACATATGGTACTTCTGAAGGAGCAGTATGGGAAGCAAGTGGTCGTAAACCTGCTGGGGAACAGAGGCGGAGAGGAGGTGCTCAACAGGGCCTTCAAGGTAAACACAGCCCCTTGCCCGCTTCTCCACACGGGGGTGTGGGGAGGGGAGGGGAAGGCAAGGGGCCCCTGCTCAGAGGCAGGCTCAGGCCGGGGGCTGGAAACGTAATGCAGATCTCTCCATGTTCGGGGAGCTTTTTCCCCACTGGAGCTCCAGCATTAGGTGATTTGGGCTCCTGACATGAAGTTTAATTTTTATGACCTGATGGCTGGGAGAATTTGCTCAGAGTCAAAACAGAGCATCTTCCATCTCCAGCTGCATTTCCTCTAGAGCTCCCACTGGGGCCTTGGGAACTCAGGACAGTCGGGCCTTTCCCTGCTCTCTTAGGTGGACACGCACACATGCACGCACACACTCACCGCCACACACATGCATGCGCCTGTGCACAAATGTTTGAGCTTCACCCACGCACCCCTGACCTGCTCAGTGAGCCAGAGCTTCCCTTCTTTCCTTGGTCTGGCTCAGCTGCTGGCCCCACCTCCTGGCAAGCTCATACAAACACCTTCAGGGCACTTATGCCTGGAGCGACTCTTCTGAGCCCCTGACCTGCTAAGGCAAAGAATTTTACATGATTTCCTCCTGCTAACTTGAGGCCTTCAAACCTTCCATTCTTGCTTGGGCTGCCGCTAAAAGCTGCTGCTTGTGCCCAGCTGCCCATGGCTCCCTGGGGCTTTCCTCTGCAGGGTCAGGGAGATGTGGGGAGAAACCCTGGACAGGGAAGGAAGCAGTTGGAGCAAAAGGCTCCCTCCACCACCACCCTGGTCTCTTGCTGTCCTCAGAGCTCCAGTATGTATTCAGTCTGCTATGTGAAAAGCTCCGGAATGGGCTGTGGGCGCCTCCACAGTCCTTTCCAATCCCCCACGGCCCCCACTTAATGGAGAAAAGCCCTCTGGTTGTTCCAAGGTCAAGGCATCCCCTGATGGAGAGAGTCAAAAGTCAGGCCTCACCTAACAGGCAGTGGTGTTCGCTGTCTTCCTGACCCCTGGCCCCTGACCCCTGGCTATGGCAGCCGGATCCAGCTGGGTGCTCATCTCACTCTGCCTAGCAAAGCCACCGGCTTGGAGCAGCCTTCCCGGCTGCCAGTTTCATTTGGCCAGACCTGCTTTTCCTGTTTGGTTTGTTGCTCCTAGCAACAAGATTGAGAAATAGCTCCCCTCCACCCATCTTGGCAGCAATTTGACAGCTTACTTTAAGGAAGAAGGGGGGAAAAGCAAGAAGAAAAAAGAACCCAAGATTTTTTCTCTTTATGCCTTGAGTTATGGGGAGAGGGTGTCCTCAGTGACCTGTCAGCTGGTAGAAGTGCGTCCTGGGCTGACAGGCTCTTTTGGCACGTCAGGGGCAGGAGATGGCAGCAGTCCCCGCGCAGGCCAGGGAGGGCAGGCTTCCAGGCAGGTTAGGAGGAAAGGGACTGACATTCCACCTGCAGGAGACCTGACCCGGTGTCACCTGGAGCCCCAGCCCCCTCAGCCCATCAGCTCTGCAATGCTGAGGTCCACACACCTGCAGCCGTCCTATGACCCAGCGGTTGTCAGGCCACAGGGGAGCAGTGCCTGCTCCAGCCACTAAGCAACACGCTGTTCAGTTTAGCTGATGTCATCTTCATAGCAAGACTTCCTTGACGGTGGCACCCGTGCAGTGATTCGCATTCTGGCCCATGGTGGATGGGTATTTTGAGTCATAGGTACTAGACAGCTGTAAGTCCCTCTAGTCCTTCAAAGCCCTTAGACACTTGTGCACAAGTCTGACCTGAAGCCGAGGGGGTGGGGGGAGACCCGAGGCCAGGTCTCCAGGAAGCAGCCAGATCTCCGTTCCCATGGGGCCGGTGAGAGAGCTGAGGGGTGGGCAGGGAGGTTCCCTATGTGGAATCGAGGCCTCTGCCAGGAGCACCCAGAGGACCCCCTGGGAGACTCGCACTTCAGAGCACACTCACCTGGAGGCTTGCACTTGTCTGGATGGGGCTGGTTACCAGGCAACCGTGAGCTAGATTATGAGCTCCCAGCCTGCTGCGCTGCCCAGTGCCTCAGGGGCCTGTGACACTTGGGTGCCTGAAGAACAGGGTGGTCCTTCCCTCACCGGTGCCCTGGGAGAGCCCTGCAAGAAGGGTGATGTCGGAGCAGGGCCGGGGGCTTCCCTGGGAGCCTCACCTGGCCTGGCTGTCTTTTGCCCCAGGCAGACCTTCTGTAGGCAAGATGCGCTCTGTGGGTTTGCCCCGCGCCTCCCTTTCAGGGTCAGGACTGACAAACCGTTTGGTCCACCACAAGCCGTGAAGCTGAGCTGTGCGCTCCCGAGTGGTGGGTCGGCGCTCGGATTCCAGCCGGCAGGTTTGCTGGCACTGTCTTCCTTCCCAGGCCCCTGCCACCCTCTCTCTCCCCCTCACAGAAGCTGCTCTGGGCCTCTTGCCACGCCGGTGACACGCCTATGATAAACTTCGACTTCCACCAGTTTGCGAAAGGCGGGAAGCTCGAGAAGTTGGAGAACCTGCTGAGGCCCCAGCTAAAGCTGCACTGGGATGACTTCGACGTGTTCTCTAAGGGCGAGAATGTAAGTCCACGGTGAGTCTGCCCTGCGTCTTCTGCGCTGCGTCTTGTCTCCCGCTGGCCAGGTGGCAGGGGCCGGGCTCCCCTGGGATGTGCGCCTCTCCTGCTGGCCACGCTCGCAGTTTCCCGGGCCCCAGGCTCAGCGATGGTGGGACCTGGGGTTCCGGCCTCTCCTTCCCCTTCCCACAATCAGAACATGCTTTTGACTTCTGTGAGTAGATAGGAAAACATATTCAATTTACTAATAAAGGGGAGTAGGTTAGAATGTGGAGCCATGGAAACCATATAACTTATCCAAACTGTGATGCAAACCCAAGAGTGAAGGGACAGTGGCATAATCCCAAGAAAGCAGATGTGGGTTTCCCTGCTCAGAGCTGAGCAGAAAAAGGAAGTCGGGTTTCCTCGAATCACAGTACAGTCGATCCCCATTTTTCCGATCCTGTATCTGCAAATGTGCTCACCCGCTAAAGCTCACACTCCCAGCATGTGCACAGACGCTCTTAGCCGGTGAAAACGAGTCGCCCAGCCCGCATGTTCCCAGCGGGCTCTGCCCTTCGGTTCCGCTCTCATGCTGCAAATAAGTTCTTTCTGCCGTCTTATTAGTGCCACAGTTTCACATTTCTGTGCATTTTGTTGGCAATTTCACTGTTGGAAACGGCTCCCAAGTATAGTGCTAAGTGTTGTCTAGTGACCCTCAGCACAGGAAGGATGTGACGTGCCTTATGGAGAAGAGGCGTGTGAGGGACGCTTCGTGCAGCGGTGAGAGTGCACTGGCTGTGCATTCAGTGTTAGCGGATGAACAACACGTGCTGCCTAAGGTGTCTTTAACCGGAAGCGCATATAAAACAAGGTTACATGTTGAGTAGTTGATGAAATGCGTGACCCAGTGTTTCCCCTTCGGGCCGTGGCTCAGCGTTTGCTCGCGTGCTAACAGTTCAGCTCACCGATTGTTCACGGCAACTTTCTGGAACATGACTGCAGAGTCGCGAGAACTGACTGTATTTAGAATGAGCCGGGTGTGCGGGCCGCCGAGCTGTGCTCTGGGGTCCTGGTGAGCTACTAGGGAGATGCGAGGGGCACGAGTTTTGGGGGATCTACTGTCAAGCATAGGCCACTGTGCTCCAGCCATTGCTCCTTCAAGCATAACATGTAACCATTTATTTCCTGTTATTTCCCTAAGTTTCCAGAAAGGCACTTTGCGGATGAACTGTCTCGACTGCCTGGACCGAACCAACACAGTGCAGAGCTTCATTGCGCTCGAGGTGGGTCCCTGCCACAGCCCCGTGGGCCATTGTCTGTGCCCAGAGTCTGTGCCTTCAGCAGGCGGGCTGGGCGGGCACCTTCATGGGGAGAGTGAGGGCATCACTGGGCTCCCTTTCTGACTGTGGGGAGCGGGACAGGATGTGCCAGGCATCTGGAGAGAGGTGTTCCTAGGGGGCTGGCTTGCCTTTGAGCCGTCATAGGCACACTTCTCGTGTCTCAGACGTGGTGACCCAGCTGCACCTTGGGGACCTGGTTCTGTGTAAGGGTCATTGTGCGCACACTGTTGGGCAGAGGCAGAGTGAGGCCGGTGCAGTGAGGCTGGTGCGATGAGGCTGGTTTGAGGCCTCGGAGGGAAACCCCAGACTGTCTGTGTGTCTGGGTGACCTCTCCTGGCTCCCTGCTTGCAGGAGGTGGTGGGGTCCAAGCCTACTGCCCTGGTTGCTGTCCAGCCCTCTGGTGGTGGGGGCAGGGAAGTCAGGAGTGTGGGGGTCAGAGGAGGGCAGGGTGGGATGGTGAAGTGAGGCAGCTGTGGTGCAGGCCCCATTCTGTGCTGCAGGGGAGGGGGGCAGAGGGACCCAGGGTCTGCCGAATAAGGAAGCCATAGGGCGATGAGAGGAGGCAGCTTTGGGGCAGCTTCCGTCCGTGTGGAAGTCAATGACAACTGTCCCTTCTCACCCAGGTCCTTCACCTGCAGCTAAAGAGCCTGGGGCTGAATTCAAAGCCCATCGCCGACCGCTTCGTGGAGTCCTTCAAAGCCATGTGGTCTCTGAATGGGCACAGCCTGAGCAAGATGTTCACGGGCAGCCGGGCCCTGGAGGGGAAGGCCAAGGTAGGCAGGCCGCAGGGGAGGCGGCGGAGGAGGGTGGGGGCCGAGTGGATCCCTCTCACGGCCTGTGGTCCGGCTCTCGCAGGTGGGGAAGCTGAAGGACGGCGCCCGGTCCGTGTCACGCACCATCCAGTCCAACTTCTTTGACGGGGTGAAGCAGGAGGCCATCAAGCTGCTGCTGGTTGGGGACGTCTACACAGAGGAGTCTGCGGACAAAGGAAGGATGCTTCTGGACAACACGGCCCTGCTGGGTACGGGGGTGCCCTCTCCACTTGCATGGAGGCGTCAGGCAGCTCTGCCACCCACAGGGGCATCCCTTCCCACCCCCATCGTGTAATCCAGGTGGCAGGTGGCAGACACTCCCCTGAGCTGTAGGGCATATGGAGGGAGTGTCTGTGCTCTGCACATGGGTGGCTGTGACTGTAGCCTGACCAGTTGACCTCAGCAGCTTGCGGCTGTGTTTCATAGTCTTTTATGAGTTGGTCAGTCACATGTGGCCACACTAGGTGGCAGAGGAGAGGAGGCTCAGGAAAAAACAAAGTTTTTGCACTCACAGGACCTAGAAATTGGGGAGGGGAGGGGAAAGGGAAGGGGCGGAGCACACAGGGCCACATGGAAAAACCCCAGGGGTCAGGAGGCAAAAGGCAGGAGCCAGAGGAAAGCTTAGGCCCCGGCCCTTGTCAGGTTTCTGTGGGAAAGGCATGGCGGGTAAATGGTTGAGAACTGGCGAGTTTAAATCATTCCAGTGGGCTTTGGGCTGCAGAATGGGGCTCTCATTGGCATGCAGGATGGACAGTGGAAAACACAGATGGGAGTAAGATGTTTAAAGTTTTATTTACTTAAAACGTGGTTAGTTGCAGTGTCTCCTCACTTAAATCCCCCCTGGGTCATGGAGTGAATGCTGAGGGTGAGATTCCTAATGACCTGAAGTCACAGGCTCCGTGGCTCTGGTTGGGGAACGGGTGCTGAGAGGGACCACCTGGTCCTGGTTCCCAGGACTCTGTGGCAGAGATGCCCTAGGGGAGCGTCCTGCGTATGGTGGTTTTAGCCTGTTCATATGATGGCCACTACCTGCTCTTGTGGACAGAGACCCCGTCCGTGTTTCTGGAAGATGCAGGGGCCTGTGGGGTGCAGACAAACATGCCCTTTGTGTGCCTCCTCCCAGTGACTCCCAGGATCCTGAGAGCTATGTCGGAGCGCCAGGCGGAGTTCACCAACTTCAGGCGGATCCGTATTGCCATGGGCACCTGGAACGTGAACGGAGGGAAGCAGTTCAGGAGCAACCTCCTCGGGACGGCCGAGCTGGCCGACTGGCTGCTGGACTCGCCCCAGCTTTCCGGAGCGGCCGAGCCCCAGGGTGAGTGCGGTCGCCTCAGGAAAACAAAACACAAACTCCATCGAGCTCTTGGCTCACCCTGTTCCATAGCTGGTGACTCGTGAAATTTGGTATTTGGTGTTCTCACTCCTTCAGGGTTTAAAAAACGCAGTGGGCTGGCTACCTTTCTGGAGCACACCTGGCAAATTAACCACCTGACACCTGCTCTGTCCAAGTGTTTGGAAGGGTTATCAAAGCCGAGACTCTCTTCTGTTCACATACATGAGATTTTACTGGTTTAGGTTTTGCTCATTAGAACCTTTTGTCTAAGGAAGAGGCGGCTTCTAGATCGTGTTGCTGGGAGGAGCTAGACACGCATGTCCCTTCACTGCTGGCCAAGGACATCTGTCCTGCCTTTTCCCAAACCAACCATACCACTAGATACAGCCACTTTAATTCACAGATTTGTGTGCCTTTTAAGAAGGAACTAATCCCAAATCTGACACCTCACCTTTTGTCTTAGATCATGTGAGATGATCTTTAATGGCCTCAGGACTTGAAGAGTGAATGAATTTTCTGTGGTCAGCCCTTACCCAGGGGCCTTGCTCCCTTGAATTCTGGGAGAGACTGGAGCTCCAGTTCTCTGCCTGTCCATGCGCGAGAGCCTCTCACTGTCACCAGAGCCCCATCCCTGTGGCGGCAGGCACAGTTTGCACCCCCCTTGCTGCCTGAGGGAGCAGGGTAGGCCTTGGTGGGTCTGATTTCCTTCATCTCCTGTCTTGCCCCCAGATGACAGCAGCCCAGCTGACATATTTGCCGTGGGATTTGAAGAGATGGTGGAACTGAGTGCAGGGAATATCGTCAATGCCAGGTAAGCGGCTGGGCGCCAAGGCGGCAGGAGAGACGTGAAATTCACCGAGGGTTTCCCCAGCCAGGTGCAGGCCCCCAGGCCATGTGTCTGCATCTGCTGACCTGTGTGTGCCCCTCGATGTGCAGGGGCTGCTGACAGCCCTCCCCCACTCCTCTCTCCCTGCTGACTAAGGGAATGGAAGGGGGGCGGGTTATTGAGTGTGCTGTCCTGAGCCGAAGCCCGGCCGTGGGCAGGCTGCACCCTGCTGTGAGCTGGCCGCTGGCCTGGGGCCTGTGGGTGGAGGGCGAGTGGGAGGGTGCTGAGTCACCTTTCCTGGGAGAGGGGAGAGCAGGAGTGTGGGAGGAGGTACCTCTCTTCTCTCTGCCACTGATTCACTTGGGGTGTAGAGTCTTCCAGACCTTTTCTTTCCTAAACTGGTGAGGCTTTATTTCAGGAATTTTCTGAACAGATAATAAAACCTGACTCTGGAGCTCTCAGGAACAAGGGGTCCCATGATGGGTTTCGGGCGGCAGGGGTGAGGAGAATGTGCTGTGATGTATATGACACACCAGAAATAAATGGACAGGCCAGCACTGGCGTGGGGCCTGGCACCGTAAGGGAGTGCAACAGCGCAATATCACGTGCGAAAGGAACGGGCTGAGGGCTGGGAGAACCCACTGCTAGCCGACTGTCTCTGGCATCATAACTGGCATCATTGTTTTCTTTCCCTTCCCAGTACCACCAACAGAAAGATGTGGGGCGAGCAGCTTCAGAAAGCCATCTCGCGCTCTCATAGGTACATCCTCTTGACTTCGGCCCAGCTGGTGGGCGTCTGCCTCTATATCTTTGTACGTCCATACCACGTCCCTTTCATCAGGTAAGGACCTTCAGTCTCTGAACATCTGGGGGAACCGGGGTTGGTGGTCAGGGTGTTTTGTTCCGAATTCCCCTTCCTCCTGCAGCAGGAATCAGGACCTGCCATTATTCTAGATAAATGGGGGAAAAAACCCAGGAGAGACTAGGCTGAATGGAATATTGTCTAGCAATTAACAAGCACAATGGGGACCTCCTAGCTCAGGAAGCCGAACTCTCTTAGGAGCAGTACATGACCCCCATCACCCAAGCTCAGTCCTGCGCAAGGGAAGGGATGCCTTGTTGAAATTAGACGAGAAACCTTCTGACCAAGAGCTGAGTGACTCATCAGGAAGTATCAATTCTTTGCCTCTTTTAAAAAATCTAAATAAGACATGTGGGCAGGAAGCCTCCACAGCAGGTGCAGGCCTCAGTCTGTGCTTTAGTCCATGGTCTGTGCACCTGTGCACCCACCGGCATGCATTATAGGTTGGCATTCTGAGGCGATCAGGAGTCTGCATTGAAACGCCTCCCCAGCCAAGCGTAGATAACTGGATGCTTCCTGTTCCTTGAACATGTGTTGACTACCTCCTGGCACCTCCTGTGCTTTGCAGGAAAGCTGGGTGGGTGGGAGTCGGGGGTGAAGACCATGCTGCTGCTGCTGGCAGTGAGAACTCCGAACAGAAATGGATGGAGATGGGTGGGCTTCGGGGCTGCTTTGTGGGGTGCTTTGGTCAGTGTAGAGCCCTTCAGCATCAGGGTTGTGGAGGAGACACTCCAAACCCATGGCGCAGCTGCTGAAAGAGGGGAGGAAGTCAGGAGTGACCCAGAGTCAGTGGCGGTCACGCTGGTTGCTGTGTGGCTTGGTGACTGAAGACATGATTAAACAGCTCTGAGCTGGTGGTTTTGGGGTTCTCCTGCCGCAGGCCTCCTGCTGCAGCCCGGCTCTTCTCTGTAGCCAAATAGGTTGATGCTTCTCCCCGAAGCCACTGAGAAGCCAGCGCCTGTGCTCTTTGTCTGTTCCAGGGATGTGGCCATCGACACGGTGAAGACGGGCATGGGAGGAAAGGCGGGGAACAAAGGAGCCGTGGGCATCCGCTTCCAGTTCCACAGCACCAGCTTCTGCTTCGTGTGCAGCCACCTGACGGCCGGGCAGTCCCAGGTGAAGGAGAGGAACGAAGACTACAAGGAGATCACCCAGAAGCTGAGTTTCCCCATGGTAAGGAGCCTGACGTGGGTGGGTGGCGGCCTGGAAGTGGTGCACTCGCCCACCAGCCTCCACACCCTGCCCAGCCTCGTGCGTGGGATTCTGAGCTGCTAATATGGGCAGGCACTCTGCCCCTGGGGACGTGTACTGGGGGAGGGAGATGACCTGGCCTGGGACAGCAGAGGCAAGCCCAGGGCATCCAGCCTGGAGGGATCAATCCCCATTTTTACATGTTTCTTCGGTGTCCTTATGTACCCTGAGTTTTCTTATGTGCATTTTCTGATTTTCTGATTCAATTGTATTGAATGGGGAAGGAAAACCAATGTGTTTGTGCTTTGTCCAAGCTGATGAAGCACATTTGAGTCCTAACAGTACAAGGCGTGGCTTTCTGGAGATTCACAGTCTTGGCACATGCGTCCTGTTGTGGCTCAGATAAGAAGGCCCATTTAGAAACCAGTGAATTTTTGGCTCAGGAGCCCCGGATCGCCCATCTGGTCTTGCAGTCACCAATACCATGCGTTGTGCTGCCCTCTAGTGGTGACCCAGAGGTTTTCATTCTGAAGCTTCAGGTTTTCTTTTCAAATTCAGATTTGAATGTTCTCTCTGTGCTAACCCGAGGGCCCGCACACCTTCAGCTCGGGCAAACCGCCTGTCTCCCAGAAATGAGGATAGACCCAGCAGTGTTCTTGCCACAGTGTTTGAGACACGGTTGATTAGGTCCTGGAGCTCTGCAGCGGAGACCAGATCCCTTAAAACTGCCATCCCGTTTACTGGGCTGCACAGGCACTCAAGGCAAAAACTCCTTCATTTTCATTAATAAGTGCTGTAATCCTTGTTGTAGTTTTTATTTCTTAGATTAAATAAGAAACAAATGAGTTAGGAAATTGGCAATTTGTCGTTTTCCAGACTATGTAGGACATTATGCATATTTTCTTTGTGTGTCGATATAATTTTAAAAAAAAGTCCCACCTAGTCACTAAAAAGTGCATTCAAAATAATTATGACCTATTTGAAGGACACATTCAAAATAATTAAAAGACATGTGGTATAGCTCCTTTTTCAACAATAGAAATATCAAAGGAACCTATACATTAATACTCTACCCCTGCACTGTCCCATAGAGTAGCCACTAGGCACACATAGTTATTTAAATTTAAATTAATTAAAATTAAACAAAACTCCCTCGGTTGTACTGACCACATTTCCAGTGCTCAGTGGCTGCGTCACCTGGCAGCTCCTGTCTTGGGCAGCGCAGGTGGGAACGTCTCTATCACTGCAGGACGTGCTCCTGGACAGCCCCCTTGAACACTCACTGTATTTGGTTGTGATCATTTTGATCTTCTGTCCAGATTATTGTTGGGGGTTGGGGGGAGTGGGAATGCCACGGAGTGTAGTAGAACAGAAGCAGATTTGGGAGCCGAGTTCAGATCTGTCTTTATCACGTACTGGTTGTGTAGCCTTCAGCAGGTTTTTTGAACTTTTTTTTTTTAAATCTAAAGAAAGAGCCAGGGCTGATGGGAGGACTGTGTGCCCCCAGAACAGAGCCCAGAGCTGTAGCCGGCTGAGAGGCAGCATCTGTCACTGTGATTCCTGGGGGAAGGGAGGGGAAGGATCCAGGCTTCCAGGTCCAAGTGACTGGGTGAGATCCGGAGGGAGGGTCACCGATGAAAAGGTATGAAATCCATGAAGTTTTACGAAGTTACACGTCCTAAGCAATTTGACTTATTTCCTTAAACATCATTCTCATCACAATGAATGAATGGGTAATTCTTAGGATATGAAGGTAAAAGCAGGAGCACACCCTGACCATCGAGAGCATCAGCAGAGTAAATGTTGGCAGCCGCACCGCCCAGTTAGAGTTGGAGATTTCTCCAAACCGCTCAAAAACACTATTACTTTAAAATTAAAAAGTAAGCCATGTAAAAGTTCCTCAGTAGGTTTAAGGGCTAAGTGAAACATAAGATGCTCTAGTAGAAGACTTCCTCCCCCTCCCACCTTCCCTGCAAGATGGGCGGGGATGACTGTGATTTTTTTTACAACGTAGGGAAGAAACATTTTTTCTCACGACTACGTGTTCTGGTGTGGCGATTTCAACTACCGCATCGATCTCACTTATGAAGAAGTCTTCTATTTTGTTAAGCGCCAAGACTGGAAGAAGCTTCTGGAATTCGATCAGCTCCAGCTACAGAAATCCAGTGGGAAAGTAAGTTGTGCTTTTAAAGGAGCCCTGCAGCTGCTCGGGTAGGGACTGCCGTCTGTAAATGTGCATGCTCGTGTTTAGCAAGTGAAGTTCCATGAGTGGGTTGGACAGGGACGGTGACGCTGTGGGAAATGTGTGTGAGCATCGTTCACACCCTTCCCGCCCCTCCGCACACGGGCTGTGGCAGGCCCCGAACGCGCGGCCCTGCCTCGCGCCTTTCGCCGTCTGCGGGGCCGATGGGCCGACGGTGTGATAGGTCGGTGCTGGGCGGAGGGGCACCTGATGGTGGTGAGTCAGGCAGGTAAACAGATAGCCATCACTTTTTTGCTAATTAAAAGGCACACACGTCCAGTTTTAGGCATATTTATAAATATAATGTAGATTCTGTGACTTTTAGGAATGCAGAGAATTAAGGTGGTTCGTGACTTCTCTTTCTCCCACTAGATTTTTAAAGACTTCCATGAAGGCAGCATTAATTTTGGACCCACCTACAAGTATGACGTTGGCTCCGCCGCCTACGACACAAGTGACAAATGTCGCACGCCGGCCTGGACAGACAGGGTCCTGTGGTGGCGGAAGAGGCATCCCTTTGACAGGACAGGTGGGTGGGATGTGTGCACATTCAGAGCTGGTGAGGGCGGTGGTCAGTACCACAGAGGGAATATCACATCGATTCTGCCCGATATTCTTTGTTACGTAAAGAACATTTTCTTGACAACCCAAAGCTACACAAAAGTCATCCCAGACCTTAGCCCCTAAGCTTTGGAAGTTATGCTTTGAGGGAGCTCCCTTCTGTCCTCTTACTAGAGACTGATCTGCAAATGACCTGCTTCTGACTCCCCATCCCTGCACCACCGCTGTCCCCCACCACCACCCTGTCCACTCTGTTCCGGGCCGGGAATGGGAGAGAAGCCACACCGTCCCCTCCACTGCCGTTGCCCTCACACACACGCACGTCTCCCAGGCTATTCGTTCAACCAAACTCATCTGCTAAAGCCCCAGCGTTTGCCCTCGATTAGTTTCAGCGTGTCTTGAACAGTGATCCCAGCTAGGAGGTACAGTTGATTTAAAACTGGACCACCTGTAAATTGGTACACGAACAGCTGAACTTCTCTGGTGACGTGTCTGCTGAGATTTCAAAGCCAGGAAGTCTCATCTGCAGATTGAAAAGATACATGTTGGTTCAGATCAGTTGTGGACACCTGCACGGCCCAGGGACTGAGAGGCCTCTGTGTTCGTAGCCTCGGCATCTCCTGCTGTACCGAGGGCTGCAGACTTGTGTCCCTGTGCCCTGGGACGGAAACCCCCCGGCGTGATTTCTGTGCCCCACCCCACCCCGTGCCCACTGGGGTGGATGCAGGGGGCGGGGCTGGTCTTGCTGTGGGACAATCCACATGGGAGGAGTTTTTTTACCCCAGATCCAAGGCCTCCTTGGTATGGTTTCAAGCCTAAGAGGTTAAGTGAATGAGTCGGAGACACGTGTGGTCCATCCCTGTTGTGCAAGTTCCATAACCAGCATTCGTGGATATTGATACAATTTTGTGTTGTCTGTGGGTCTCTTGATTGGAATCCTGTGAGTAGCTGGAGAACTCAACCTGCTAGACAACGACTTAGATGCTGACACCAAAGTCAGACACCCCTGGTCTCCTGGATCCCTCAAGTATTATGGCCGAGCAGAGCTACAGGCGTCTGATCACAGGTATGGTCCTCGCCGCCGTGGGCACACGCTCCTCTGCGGGGGAGGCAGCATCTGCTGATCCCCGCAGAGAACAACGTGCCATCCCCATCGTAACGCGCGTGCGCACACGTGTGTGTGTGTGTGTGTGTGTGTGCGCGCGCGCGCAATACAGTGAAGAACAAATAACGGTTTGACAAATAGCTGTGCACCCACCACCAAGAATTAATGAGTGTTAGCATTTTATCATTGCCCCATACCATAAACGACATTGTTCATGAAAATTTCAAAGACACAACCTGTAGTATTTTGTGTCATTTACATTCTCATAAATAATGCCATTGTGCAACTTGGTTTTTTGCTCTAATATTTCTGAGATACAGTCACATTGATATTAGAGGTCTGGCTCATTCATTTGTAATTGCTGTCCATGATTACAGTAAACACATCCAGGGGATTTTACCATTCATCAGTTGACGAATGTCTTTTCTAATGTTTTATAAACACTAGGGTTTCAGGGCTTTAAATACTCCAAGCCGTTGGTTGGCCTTTGCGTCATACATCATGGATGGAACACAAGCAGAGGTCTGTCAGTTCCCGTGCCCTGGGACCAGCCACAGGGGCAGGTTCATGTAGTAGACCATCTTTAGAGGCACAGAGGGGGGCGTTTGAGATTGTCGACAGGTTTGATCTTCCCACAGCTGCTACCAAAACTAACAGTTTCAGCTTTTACAAGGGAAGAAATTAAGAGAGAGTTGGTGAAGTTAGTGGATGAGCCCATAGGCCTCAGTCTCTAGATATGTTGGAAACCTGTTGTGGAAAATAGATGAACCTTGGGAATCTTCACCTGTATGACCTTCAGGTTTGTGAGTTCAGTGAGTGTATTTAGAAGTGTTCATTTAAACACTGTTACTGAAGCGGCTTATATACGGGGCCCTGTTCCTGGCACTGAGGATAAGCAGTGAACAAAACAGAGGAGAGCATCCTCTCATGGAATTTTCTAGTGAGGACAGACAGACAGTAAGCAAATATCAGTGCTGTGAAAGACAAACAGTGGTGGCAGGGGCAGACAGGAGTTCAGTGCTACTTTATACCCAGTGTCCAGGATAAGATGACCTTGGCTCCGGGCCCTGAAGGAAGGAGAGTTGTGAGTCATGTGGATATCAGGGGGAGAGCATTCCAGGGCCGGCAAGTAGAGGGCTGGAGACCTAGGGCAGTGAGCGCGGGAAGACATGGAGCCGCTGCTGGACCAGGGTGGTCTTGGGCAGCCCAGCTGGGAAGTGGTTGGATTCTGGGTGGGTTTTTAAAGTGGAGCCAACAGAATTGGCTGGTGGCTGGGAAGTGGGTTGCAAGAAAGAGGAAATGCAGGTGACTCCAGGTTTTCTGACCTGAGCGACCAGAAGGATGGAGCAGCATTTACTGGGCGGACTGGGAGGTGCAGATTTGGACGTACTGGTTTGAGATGCATCTTAGCTATTTATTGATTTTTCCAATTACAGGAGCAGAAGGTCTTAGTTATTGACCATTAGGGGAAAATATACATAAACCAGCAAATTATCCATAGTCCCACCCTTTGCGAGAGTGTCTAGTAATGTTCGTTAGGCATCTTCTCCTGCAGTGTCTACATACGTTAGAAGGTTTTACACCCAAACGTTAACCTGTGTGTCGAGTGCACACTGCTTATAGGTGTATCACTGTGTATGAGAAGCTTAGGGTTATATTATGGGAGCTGTTATCATTTGCCTGTATACTTCCTACATTCATATTTTTTAGATTAACATTTTATTTTGAGGTAATTGTAGATTCCCACGCAGTTGTAAGGAATCACACAGACTCCCGTGTCCCCTTTACCAGCTCCCCTGGTGGGAAGGTCCTGGGAGTCTGTAGTGCAGGGTCTCAGTCCGAGTACAGACCCTGGGACAGTCAAGGTACAGAGTGTGTCCGTCGCCACGGGGGTCTTCACAGCGCCTTTCGCGGCCACGCTCGTTTCCCTCGGCCCGCTGCTCCCTAACCTCTGTCAGCCACTGACCTTTCTCCCTTTGCATAGTTCTGTCATTTCAAGAATGTTACAGAAATGGAACCCAAATTGGGGGACTGGCTTTTTCCGCTCCGCAGAGGTCTCTGGAGGTTCAGCGCGTGTCCGTGCGTCAGTAGGCTGGCCCCTCCTGTTGCTGAGCGCACCCCTGCGCTCGTCAGGGACCCCTTTCTTCTCTCTAACAGCTGGCGCTTCTCTGGAAAGGTTTTCTGCTAAAAGAAGTTTGTAAAAACGCTCAATGCATATCCCTGGGTCAAATTTTTCTCAATCTTGTGTTCTTGCTTCTAGATGTGGAAAAACTAATAATATCAATTGGAGGGGAGAAGAGCACTACTGATATTATCACCCATATTTCTTAATTTTTACAGCATCCCCTAGTGTTTTGTTTGTGTGTGTGTGTGTTTTCCCTAGTTTTAAAGATTGCCACCGTATTATATATTATTTTGTCCTGTGTTTGTTTTCACTTAATATCGTATTATAAATGTCTTCAATAAGGTTACATAATCTTTAAAATAAAGGATTTTCTAAAGCTTTTGTAAATAGAGTAAACCCATCCCTATTATCAAAATTACAATAATGATTGCATTATTTCTTGCTGACCTGTTCTGTGTGTCAGATTTCTACAGCGCTGTTTTCTTTTCCCCCATTGAATTTATTGGGGTGACATGGGTTAATAAAACTCCATAGGTTTCAGGTGTATGATTCTAGAACACATCATCCCGTCCTTAACGAGTGCGCAGCGTGTTATCGTGCGGGTGCGTCATATCTTAACTATCTCTGTTATGGATAAGTTGCCGTTTCCCCTTCCTCCCTCCCGTCAGCGGTGTTGTAATGATCAACCTTGTGCACAAAACCTTGGTCTGAATCCCTGGCCATTCCTTAGAACAAAGTCCTGGCATTGAGATGAAAAGATGAGCATTTTTGAGATTCTTAACACAAATTGCCAAGTAGCCCCCCAAAGAGCTCGGCCCCCTGGCCACGGGAGCATGAAAGCCCTTGTCTCTGCACCCTCGGTCGCTGGCCATCACCATGTGAAAATCCTCACTGGTGGCTGGTATTGTTTCCTCTCAACTTATCCTTAGATCAAAATGCCAAGCTGCCACGAAGGCTCAGGGTGGAGGAAGGCTGAGACCCAGGACGGCGGCGGCCCTCCGGGGAGCACGTCGCTGCCTCTGGTGGCTTCCGTTCCCAGAGCTCGGGACGGAGGGGCTGTGTAGCTGCCTCCTCCCGGTTAACCGCCGCCCGTCTTCCCTCCGTGTCTGACACAGACCCGTGCTGGCCATCGTGGAGGTGGAAGTGCAAGAAGTTGACGTGGGAGCCCGGGAGAGGGTGTTCCAGGAAGTGTCCTCTTTCCAGGGCCCCCTGGACGCCACCGTCGTCGTCAACCTCCAGTCGCCAACCTCAGAGGAGAAAAACGAGTTTCCTGAGGACGTGCGCACCGAGCTCATGCAGACCCTGGAGAACTACGGGACAATCGTTCTTGTCAGGTAGCCGCTGTCCAGCTGGCGCGGCCTCCGGGGTGGGCAACATCAAGGGCCCGTGGGAGCTGCCGAGCCTCTCTAGGGGTTGACGTGACGTGTTTCCTTTACTCCAGGATCAACCAAGGGCAGATGCTGGTGACTTTTGCAGACAGCCACTCGGCTCTCAGCGTCCTCGATGTGGACGGAATGAAGGTGAGTCACGCTTGGTCACTGTGGCATGGGGGCTCCTCAGTCCCCATGGTTTTCCTGCCCTGTCACAGGGTCACATCGTTCCCTCTCCTCCCCCGTGTCTTGAGGTGTAGGCGCCACCTGAGGGCAGGAGCCAGGGCTCTTCACCTGGCATCTAATTCTGGCGTCTTTGTCGAGGTGTCTGATGGCCGGCCCTGGCTACTTGCAGGATTTGGGAGATGAGTCTCATTCCCCTGGGTTCCTGGGTCTGTCTGTGCTCCCACGTCCATGTGGGGAGTCTTTCTCCTTAGAGGATGTTTGCAACAGGCAGCCCAGGTAGTTAACATTTTGATGATATCCTGATTATCAGTTCCCACGGAACGAAACGCTGAAGATGGTAGTTCGACTTTTATTTAGACCGGGTGCAAGCCTGCGTGAGGTCTGGGCCCTCCCTTTGCTTGGCCCCCTGAAGACGGGCCTGGCTCCCGACGCGCGAGTCTGAGCGAGAAGCACCTGGGGACCAGCGGGGCCTGTCCGGCTCCTGTGCTCATGCTGGGCCGGCCACTGTCCCTCACAGGTGAAAGGCAGAGCGGTGAAGATCCGGCCGAAGACCAAGGACTGGCTGAAAGGTCTGCAGGAGGAGATCATTCGGAAGCGGGAGAGCCTGGCCCCCGTGTCGCCCACCGCCAACTCCTGTTTGCTGGAGGAGAACTTTGACTTCACGAGCTTAGACTACGAGTCAGAAGGTGAGTCACCCTGTGCGGCCTTCTCGGTGGGATGGCGAGGCGGGCAGGCGGGCAGTTCTCCCAGAAAGGGCATGAGGTTGTCAGGAGCCCCTCTGAGACTCGGCCTCGGACGGTCGCCGCGGCACCTGAAGTGCAGCGTCCGAGTGCAGGGTGACGGTAACCAGGACCCGGGACGTCGAAACTTACACCGAAAACAGCGGCTTGGGGGATGTCAGGGCTTCGGGTGTAGGCCCTGTCCCAGGCACGAATGGCATTTAGGTCCCATCCCTGCAGTAACGTGGTTTCCGTGGCTGCTAGCAGCTGTGCCCCAGTGTCCTGACACCAGCTGCCTGCCTTGGCGTTGAAACAGGCCGGCCCGTGAAAGGCGACGCCCTTCCACCCTAATTGTTTCTCTGCCTTGTTCCCAAGGGGATATTCTCGAAGAGGAAGAAGAATATTTGGATGAACTGAGTCAGCCTGTGGTCTCCGACAGTGAACTGGGGGGGGACGATCCTTCCGACACCCCCAGCTCCACCGCAGTGGCTCCGCCCAGCAAGTCACCTGCTCTAACCAAAAAGAAGCAGCATCCGACCTACAGAGGTAGCTTGGGCTTTCCTTCCCGAGTAGCCTTCAGCACCGAGCTCTCTCTCTCAGCATCTGTGCTTAATGCCAGTCACATGCGCTGTCCCAAGAGAGGGCTCAACAGGAAGTCACGGGGACCTGGGAATGTAGCAGCTACCCCCACACTGGTTTTCTCCAGTTATCTGTGTCATTTTTACAACTATTTGTGGCCCATAATACCCCAGATTCATGTTAATTTCAGCTTCTCATGTGTATTCAAATGGCCACAGCTCTGAACTGGTTTTACATTTAATTTTTTTCCTCTCCAAAGTTTTTCTGATTCAGTCCCGTAAGAGGCATAGTCAGTATCTATGTCCAGAGTTGCTGGTCTGTTGTTACCTTCTCATAACATATATTGTTATACAGTAATAATTATATATATTATGTCATTACATAGATATATAATTAATGATATTACACATTAGCATCATTATATCACTGTAGACTGAAGAGGGATTGAAAAGCATGTGCATTGAACTCACATCCCTAGATTGTATGGAATAGTGACTCTCAAATAGTTTTAAAACCTGCTTGCTCGCATCCGTGGGCTAGAGTGGGTAGGTGGGTCACGATTCAGCATCAGACCCATGAGCACAGATCCCTCCACGGCCACAAATGCCTCCCAGCTGTTGGTCATTGTGTCCTGTGTCGGAGGAGCACTGTCACCTGCCAGTGCAGGAGCTCAGCCAGGTGTTAGGACCCTTGAGCTGGGGCTGAAAACAGAACAGGGGTGAAAGTGAATTAAGATGCTTCCCAGGGAAGGTACGTTGCCGGGAAAGGTGCAGAGACCCCCAAGTCCTTTTGACTGGGTAGCTGTCCCGGAGCTGGCTAGCATAGCCTGGCTGGCTGACTCAGCCGGAGCCCTGGGGCTTACAGGTCGCTGAGCCCCCTCATGGA